AGCTGCTGGGCGTTCGGGGCCACGCCTTGCATGGAAGAGCGTCTGGGCCTGGACAGGGGCCCCCAGCAAGCCTAGCGGCTGTCTCGAGCGCCCGCGCGCCAGGCAAGGGGAGGTCGGCAAGCTGGCGCCGAGGGAAGATGGAGTTGAGGTACTCGGTGAGGCGCAGATTGCCCACGTGCTTCTCTGCAGATTCTTGGGCACAGTGCCGCATGATGGCCCTGTGCATGGCTGCGGGGCCAGCCACTGTGTTGGTCGATTTGCCGACGACGATCTTGACGCTCGACAACACGAGGCGCTTGGAAAATGGTCTCCAACATTCTCCTCGGAGTCCTTCACGTCTGGCGCGCTGGCGCCATTTCTGGCCAACGGGTACACCGTTGGCTGCGTAGGCAGTTCTCGATCGGGCTGACGCTAGAGCCTGCTCCGCTCGTCGCTGAGGCTGGCGTGGGTGGTGTCGGTGGCCTCCGTGAAATCGTTCATGCCATTGATGCTGACGGTGCCCTCCACGATCTTCAGGTGGAACTGCCCGATGTCGATGTTCTCGATCAGGGTCTTCGCGAGCGGGACATGATGGTGCCAGGCGGCTCTGGCGACGCTGCGCAGGGACATGGCACGGACCTCGCGCGAGACCGAAGCAGGTTGTGACGGCAACTCTGCGGCAGGAATCTTAGAGAGAGTGTCACGCGCGAGACGTCGAAGATGTACGCAAGTATGCCACGCTCGGTGGCAGGTTTGGGCTTGCGCAGACGGTTGCGCAGGTTCATGATCCTGTGGTCGCTGATGGGCCCTTGGTGTTCTCGAGCAGCGAATCGTCGGCGACATAGGTGGTCTCCACGAGGGGCATGAGGTGGCTCGGGAGGTTGATGAAGCATCCCTCGATCGTCGATTCGCGCATGTTGGCTTGCGATCTGTGTGTCGTGGACGGAGTAGCAATCTCGGCCATGTTGCGGAGCAGGTTGCGCCAGAAGACAGGCTGGTACTGGTAGCGCTGCGCGGCTGCGGTGTCAGCGTCCACGGGGGGTGTTGATCGACTTCGGCGGGAACTCGGAGACGTTGAAGTCACCCACTATGAAGAGAAAACGGTGTTGTGGTTGCTCGTTGGAGGAGGAGGAAAGGGAGGAGGAGGAGGAGGAGGAGGAGGAGGAGAAGGAGTCTGTCTGTTGTATGTCTGTCTTCCCCAATCAAGCTCCACATGTCTTATCACGCAAACTGTTTGCCCTGGGCTCGGCTCTTGTCGCCAGATCTCTTCCACCAGGTGTGCGCACACTCCCGAGACCCCCGAGACTCCCGAAAACTCAACAGGGGCTGCCGATGATAACGGCGGCAGGGTATCTCAAGTACTGGAAGGTCAAAGCAGTCCACGCGGAGAAAGACACTCCTCAGAAAGCGCGGCAGACCCGGCACATGTACTCCGTCAACGCGTGGACTGTCCTCGGTGGGGGCACTATCACGGTGCTGGTGAATGGCGTCATCACATCCCTTGTCGTGAAGATGGGCAGCACGCCCAAGCCAAGCCCCCCTTCCCAGGACACCGCAGGAGAGAAAAGTACAAGGCAGTCTGGAGGGGTTCCTGCGCAGCGCAAAGCACCGCAGGTCAGTAAGCATAGTACTGCGCATGCGAGTGGAGGAGTGAGCAGTGGTGCTGTGAGGCCTGGGCTTCGACAGACCGTGGTAGACAGTGGGCGAGTGAGCTTTCGAGGAACGTGGGGCCCCCCTGACCAACCTGTCCGGAAGAGACGACGAATGCGCACACGGTAGCACATGCATCGTTTACTTAATGTGTTGTGTTTACCGTTTGTCGCAGTTCCTCACGCGGTGCGGAGATTCCAGTGGTCCCGATCAGTCTGGGGATCCCAGTGGTCCCGGTCAGCGTTTCGAACCCTTCTCCTCGTCCTGTGTCTCCCTCGCCTCCGCCTGTAAAATCTCGTGTTGTCTGATGTATTCCGCCTGCTCATGAGTCCTGCAGAGAGAGCCACGAAGCATGGCACTTGTTTGACATCGGCGGGGACACGGTGCTCCCGCGCCGCACATCGGTCGTTGTCCCTTGCAGCTTCCAGGCACTTGACCATCTGATGCTTGCCGCCGCCGCCGCCTCGACCTCCTCCTCCTCCTACACCTCCTTCTCCTCCTCCTCCTCCTCCTACTCCTCCTCCTCCTCGTCCGGCTCCTCCTCCACCGTCACTTCCACCTCCACCTCCACTTTCTCCTCCTTCTCCTCCTTCTCCTCCTCCTCCTCCGCCTTCCCCTCCTCTCCTCCTCTTCTTATTAATACGTTTATGTTTATTCGTCTTCTTCTGATTCAGATTACTATTCGTCGTCTACTTATTATAATGTGTCTTCTTCCTCCCCCTCCTCCTCCACTTCTTCCCCAACCATCATGTGGTGTGATTCCACGCTTTGAAGAGACAACCCCCGCGTTCCGTCCTCCTCCTCCTCCCAATCCTCCCTCCTCCCAGCATCATCGTCAGAATCATGATCAGCATCCTCAGCAGAATCATCATCAACAGCATCATCACAATCATTCTCAACAGCCACCTCAGCATCATCATCATCAGCAGCATATTCACGATTATTAGCATTATTAATAACATTATCAGCAGTAGCATCGTCGACAACACTCTCCTCCTCATCATCATCACCATCAGCAACCACCAAGCATCAATCATCACCATCAGCATCATCATCGACAGCGCCATCACCATCATCAACCATCAAACATCATCAGCATCCTCGTCATCATCGTCATCGGCATCATCATAGCCATCAGCATTATCGTCAGCATCCGTAGCATCAGCATCAGCATCAGAACCAGCATCATCACCAACATCAGCATCCTCATCATCCTCATCATCCTCAACATCATCAGCCACATCATCATCATCACCATCATCACCAGCATCAGCATGATCACCACCGCCACCATCATGGTCATCATCATCATCAGCATCATCACCACCAGCGGCGGTGTCCACATGCGTCCGCGCCATCAATTTCGCCACACCCTTCACACGCTTCGTGGCCCGATAGCGAGCTCCACCGAAGGCCCCAGTGGCGGTGCTCACATGCGTTCGCGCTACCCAGTTCGGCACACCCCTCACGCGTTTCGTGCGAAGGCCAGCTCATAGAGCGCCAAACAGAGTAGCTCATAGAGCGCCAAGCTGAGCAGCGCAGAGAGCGCCAAACAGAGCAGCTCATGTAGAGCGCCAAATTGAGCAGCTCAGGGAGCACCAAACAAAGAAGCTCATAGAGTGCCACACAGAGCAGCTCATGGAGCGACAAAATGAGCGGCTCAGAGAGCGCCAAACAGGGCAGGTCATAGAGCACCAAACGCTCAAGAGCAGCTCAGAGAGCGACAAACAAAGCAGCTCAGAGAGCGCCAAACAGATCCCTGGGAACCTTCGGATCACTGGGAATCGATTCCCAGTGATTGTAAAGGTGATCCCAGGATCGCCTTCCGCATCACTGGGAATCGATTGCCAGTGATCTAGAATAGTGATCCCAATGGGATTCTGCTTAGGGCGTGTCTGGCGTGCTAGATCCTATGGCTTGTTTCGGTTCTTTTCCACAAGAACGCCCTCTGGGGCTTCGGCGCATGCCGCCAGCCATCCAGAAAGCTCTGGGCGAGGTGGAAGCAGAGGCTTTTGCTGCTCAATATGGATCCAGGACGGCCCAAGATGGCCTCCAAGACGGCCAAGGTGGCTCTGAAATTTGCCCAAGCTGGTCCAAGGTGGCCTCCAAGACGGCCCGAGAGGATCCAAGATGCCTCCAAGTTTGCCCAAGAAGCCTCCAAAACGGCCCAAGCTGGCCTCAAGATGACCGAAGTCGGCCAAAGAGGCCTCCAAGACGGCCCAAGAGGCCCCCAAGAGGGCCCCCAGAAGGCCCGAAGAGCCCAAAATCATTGATTTCTCAAGGTTTTGAAGGAGTCTAGAACTTCTTTCTGTTCGGCCGTTCGACGGCCCGAGACGGCCCAAGGGGCGCCCCAAGTTCGCCCAAGAGGCCTCCGAGATGGCCCCAAGAGGGCCCCGAGAGGGCCCAAGAGGCCTCCAAGATGCCCAAGATCGCCTCCAAGACGGCCCTGGAACACCCCAAGAGGGTCCCAAGTCGGCACAGAGAGGCCCCCAAGACGGCTTCCGACGGCGTGGAACGGGCCAGGACCCTAAGACGTGCAAAGAGGCTCCTGAGAAGCCCCCAAAGGCCCCCAAGAGGCCCAAGGGGGCTCGAAGAGGCTCCCAGAAATTTCCCTGGAGGCCCTAAGAGTGCTCCCAGAGGCTCCCAAGATGCCCCCTGCTGCTCCTCCTCCTCCTCCTCCTCCTCCTCCTCCTCCTCCTCCTGACCTTCCCCGCCATCCTCCCCCCGAGTCTTCCCCGAAGAGTTTCCACAACGGCTGTGGGAACACATGGTCCGGTAGCTTGGCAGAGCTCTTGCCACAACGCTCGGCCACAGTGGCGATTCCAAAGGGCAGGGGGCGGCGTTGATTCGCCGTTGGCGTCTTTGATGATCACAAGAGCTCCAAGAAGCCCACAAAAAACGCCCAAGGGACCCTCAGGAGAAACACGCAACAACCGCCAGTCCCCAAAGGAGCTGGCGGTGTAGCGTACGCCTAAGAATCAGCATCGCAAGAAGAAGTCACAAACAAAACCCTAGACCCCGTCTTGCTGCCGCATTGTTCGAGCCGGATCGCTCCGCGAGGATGCCCAGGCCGAAGGAGGGCGAAATCGCTCAATGTGAAAAAATGCGACGCCAGGATCTTGAGGTCTCTCTTGGTCGGACGGGCCCAAAATCGAGATAAATTCATTCCAGAGCGTTCCAAAACGCTCTCAGAGCGTTCCGGAACGCTCTGATAGAAAGGCCGGCGTGCCCGATACATCCTCCAGAGCCGACAGATCTCAGAGATTCTCGACTCATCCTCACCCGAATCAATGCTCGTCCTGGCCTCGTCTTAGAAATCTCTCTTGGTGCTGGCCGGTGCCGCTGGAGCGGGGCGGTCTAGGCGCCCGGGCACGATGGTGATGGAGGCGGTGCTGCTGGCCAGCAGACGCGCTGACCTCGGCTGGGACAGTCAGCATCGAGTCGGTGAGCCCCATCGACTCGAGATCCGAATGGGGCCGCGCTGCATCGGCACAGAGGCCCTCGTCGCCACCGCTGGATTCGCCTCGAAATTCTGGTCAGAAGGCACCCCGGGAGAGGTCTGGGGAGTAGCGGTATCGGTACCTTTTGGTTGCCCCAGCAGCGACAAATCGAGTCGCATCGGCTGCACCAGGATGCACAGCAGCGCCACGTGAACATCGGGCCGCATCGGATCACCAGGAAGTCGAGATCGAATCGGACCCAGACGTGCGATGTCCTGATTATTTCAATACGGGATTCCCAGAAGTCCTGACCCTTTCCCCGGTACCCGTCTTTCATCCGTAGTCGATTTCGCTTAAGGGCCTGAGGCACGGCGAGGGCCCCGTCCTGAGATCTCCTGAGGCACGGCTGGGGCCGAAAACGACGAGCAACCTCCGTCCTGAGTTGATCTGGACGCGGGCACGTCTGGGGAGATCGAACTGGCCGAACACGAAATCGAATCGGATCGATCGGCTCGAAGTGGGCCCTGGCCTCGGCTGGCTGGGCACGGTCGCCAGCACCGCGGAGGCCGCAGAGCTCCGCGGGCCCTCGCCGATGCGCGTGAGGGCGGAGACCTCGGCGGTGTACGTGCGGCCGCAAACGAGCGAGGTCGCGGTGAACTCCGTGATGGATGGGTGGTCGGCGCCTGGGGTTGTCAAAGAGCGGAGTCAGAAGCTTCTGGGAGCGACTACAAGCTATTCGTACGGAGCCAGATAAGCCGAGGGTAAGCCCAGGACTAAGCCCGATGAAGCCAGGACTAAGTCCGATCAAGCCAGGTCGGCGTATAGGATAACGAAGGAAGAACAGACGGCACAAGCAAACTGTCGGAGCTCCGCGCGGGGTTCTTGGAGCGGCGCTCGGCCTCCTTGGCGGCGCCCATGGCGCCGCCCCTGGCGCGCTCTACGCGCCACGGAGGTCCATCGCGGATCCGAGAAATCCGCGCGGAGCTCTTCAGGTTTATATGTATGCCGCTTTCTCCTCTAGAGAAACAACTTCTGGGAGGTCTTCGAAGAAACGGCTCAAGACTACTAGGACACGATTATACAAGGCCAGGGTAAGCCCAAGGTTCGGCCCGATTAAACAGGATTGAGCGGGGTCCTGCAGAACTAGGCGGGAGTATGCCGACTTAGGCTGGCTTTCGACCATGGGTATTCCAGCGCCAGTGCTGAATGTGAGCTCCAAGGAGTTGCATTCGTTTTTCAAGCTAGTGGATGTGGGCAGGGATGGGTCTAGCCCCAGCCCGAAGAGAAGCCGAGCAGACCTGCGAAACAAAATTCCTGCGTGTGTTGCTATGTGGCTCTTCGGGCGCCGTCGTACACCAGGCTGGTCTCGTCGCTCCGGCCGGTGTTCATGTACAGCCGGTAGCCGATCAGCGGCGCGCCTCCAGTGTACAGCCCATCCAGGGGCGACCACGTCCACGTCATCGAATTCGAGGTGGTGGCCGCCTGGCCCAGGTCCTCGGGAGCCGATGTGGGCACCGTGCCCACGATGTGGGACACGACGTTGGAGTAGGTGCCGAAGCCAGCACCGTTCACGGCTCGGAGTCGGAACTGGTACACCACGCCCTTCAGCAGCCCAGCGATGGTCGTGGAGAACTGCGTGTTGTCGGGGTAGGGTCCGTCCTCCACCCAGATGTCGAAGAGCGGCTCGGGCGCGTACTCGACAACGTAGTACTGGATTGGCTCGCCACCATTCTCGTCTGGGGGGAGCCACGAAGCCGTGACGCTCGTCTCTGAGGCTGGCACGACCACGAGCTCGTTCGGTGACGACGGCTCAACGGACATCGTCTTGTATATCACGTCGGAATCAGGGCTCACCCCAACCACGTTCGTCGCCCGCACGTAGGCCCGATAGGTGCGACCAGGTACGAGCCCCGTGGCCAAGAAGGAAGTTTCGTAGGGCCTGTTGTAGCCGTCGTACACCTTCGTGAATCGGCCTCCAATGCCGTCATCCACGTAGAGATCATACCCTGTGAGGAGCGAATCGTCATCAAGGCCAGCGATCTCAGTGCCAGTGAGCGGTAGCCACGAGAACAAGAGCTCGGTAGCAGAAACGTGGGTTGCATTCAGACCCTGGACCTGCTCGGGCAGGGAAGCCGTGTACGTGGTCAGCAGCGGGGAGGTGCTGGACCACTCGTCCAGGCAATTCTTCACCTCAACTCCCCACTGGTACTGTGTGCCACAATCCAGGCCATCCTGAAAATACTCAAGGATAGTCGAGGGCTGCTCGGTGCCAGCCATGAGCTGGCCGTCCCTGAGCACTCGATACTGAAGCAAGTCGCACCCACCGTCATCCTCTGGTCGCGTCCACTTGAACTTGACGTACCCAGTCGAACACACCGACTCCAGCAGTATCGGCTGTCCCACCGTAGACGGCAGAGACGCTGTGACGAAGAAGACGCGCTCAGACTCGGGCCCTTCGCCGGCGGCGTTGATGGCGGCCACCGTGAAAGAATAATAGCGGTACTGGACAAGCCCGGCAGCGCTGAAGTCCAATGACGCGCCCCTGTACACCTCGCTCAGGGGAGAACCCAGCCCATCATCCATGCGCAGGACGAACTGGTAGATATCAGCCCCGTTGTCGTCTGGAGCAGTCCAGCTCACTGTGATGTTCGACCTCGTCCGGTCCACGAGCGTCACTGCGTCTGGCTGTGCCGGCACTCCCGCCGCCACGAAGGTGGAGACGTAGCTGTACTCGCTCGCGGCCTGCTCGTTGAGGACCCTGATGCGATACTGATAAGTGCCGCCCGACACCACGTCAGTGTCCTCATAGGTGGTGTTCGGCGTCGGCATGCTGGCCAGCGCCGTGAAGTGGCCGGTGCCGGTGTCTCGCTCAATCTCCGTCTCGGTGACCGGCAGGCCGCCGTTCGCGGGCATGACCCAGGAGAGGACGATCGCTACCTCGGAGGTGCTGGCCTCCGGAGCCCCAGGTGTGTCCGGCGGGCCGGCGGCGGTGAAGGGACCGTAGACGGCCCCGTTCGTGCACCCGACCTTGTTGCACGCGGCGACGAAAAAGTTGTACTCCCTCCCCGTGATGAGACCCACGAACTTGTACTCGTGGCCAGTGACGTCGATCTCGGTCTCTGGCTCATAGTAGGAGGTAGGCAACACGTCAACCTGGGTGTAGTCGCCTCCCAGGCCGTCGTCGCGGAATGGCACGAAATTGGTGATGGGAGAACCTCCGTCGCTGTTCGGGTTGGTCCACCCAAAAGTGATGGAATCCGAGGTCGCCGTGCCGTCTACGGGGGCGATGGTGACGGTCTCTGGGGTGCTCGCGGCGGTGAAGAGGCTGATGCTGCTGAGGGCTCCTGCCATGATCGTCCTCCTCCTCTCCCTCCTCCTCCTCCTCCTCCTCCTCCTCATCCATCTCCTCCTTCCTCTCCTCATCATCATCATCATCCTCATCCTCATCATCATCATCACCACCACCATCATCGTCATCATCATCGTCATCAGCATCACCAACATCATCATCATCGTCACCACCACCATCATCATCATCATCATCATCATCATCATCATCATCATCATCATCATCATCATCACCATCACCATCATCATCATCATCATCATCGTCATCATCATCATCGTCATGCTCATCACCATCAGCATCATCATCAACATCAGCATCAGCATCTGCATCATCACCATCCCCATCACCATCCCCATCACCATCACTATCACCATCAACATCATCATCATCATCGTCATCATCATCATGATCATCATTATCGTCATCAACAGCATCATCATCACCACCGCCATCATCATCAAGAACATCATCATCCTCATCATCAGCACCATCACCATCACCATCACCATCATCATCATCATCATCATCATCATCATCATCATCATCATCATCATCATCATCATCATCATCATCACCACTGAGGGCTCCGGCCAGCGTGCACGGGTTGTAGCCAACCGGGCACTCTGGGGCATCCCCGTTGTCGAGGAGGGGCTCGGGGGACTCGCCGCCAGCACACTCGGAGAGCGCCTGCACCTGGAACTTGTACTCCCTCCCCCTGGTCAGGCCGTCGACCACGAACGACGTGACCGACAGGTCGCAGATGGTCCTGGAGTTCGTCAGCTGGCCCGAGTTGAGCCCGTCGTCGTAGAAGATGATGTACTGGACGAGGGGCGCCCCTCCGTCCGAGGAGGGCGGATCCAGGCCGATGGTGATGGCCTCGGGCTCGGAGAGCACCAGCTTCGGCTGGGGCGGCGCCGAGGGCGCCACGGCGGCCACGAAGGTGGCGACAGCGGAGCGGTTGCCCTCTCCTGCGGTGCTCACGGAGCTGACTTGGTATCGGTACCTCAGGCCAGGCGTGAGGCCGGTGTGCTGGAAGCTCCGAACGGAAGGGCTCCCAGAACCATCGAAGACCAACACCAATTCGTCGTTCATCCCGGTGTTGGCGTACACCCGGTAGCCGGTGACCAAGCTTCCGCCAGTGTCTTCGAGGTCGATCACAGCACTCCAGGACACCTCGATGGCCGTCTGAGTCACCGGCGGATTGTCTCGGGTTACCTCGGTGGGTGGGCTCGGCAAGCTGGCCGCGCTAGCCACGATATAGGGAGACACATCCGCGAAGTTGTCGTCCTCGATGCCGTTGATGGCCAGCACGCGGTATTTGCACTTGCCATCGGTGCACAGGTAGCCCCTGTCGTCCAAGCAATCGTGGGTCTCGGCGGATAGCACAGTGGAGTACACGCCGTCCTGAGCTAGCTGATGGAACTCTGAGGGTACGTCGGAAATTAATCCTGAGCTAGCTGATGGAAGGTCCAGGACGACCGCCGAAAATTAATCCACCCAAGGTGCTCCGCCAATTTTCAAGTATGTGGACTTCTACTTGTCCTCATCCCTCGTTCCCCCTACTGGCCTCCCCTCTTTCTCCCCCATCCGTCTCCTCATCTTCCTTACACATCCTCGCTCTACCTGCAGTCCTCATCGTACTCCTCATCCTGCTACCCCTCCTCCTCATCATCCCAATTACTACGCTTCACTCTGCTGCCTCCTCCGCACCGTCCTTATCGTCACACTAAACCTGATCCGCTCTCTACTCTAGCTTCTCCTTACAATCCACTTATTATTCTGCATCAGCATCATCATCATCGCCATCAGCATAATAATCATCACCATCATCATCATTAGCTTCATCAGCTTCGCCACCATCCTCAACAATATGATCAGCAGCGACATCATCATCATCATAATCAGCATCATCAGCAGCAGCAGCATCGTCATCATCAGCATCGTCGTCATCGTCATCATCGTCAACATCAGCATCATCATCATCAACAACAACAGCATCATCATCATAATCATCATCATCATCCGAATTATCAACACCTAAACCATTATCCTCAACAACATCAGACTTCTCGCTCCTGGAGCAACTGAGAACCACACATCCGAGTACCTCCCGATCACCAGTAGCACCGCCGACCACCTCATCAACATCGTCATTGTCATGCCCATCGTCGTAACCATCACTATTAATATATCATCAGAAGAGCAGCATCGCGTCAATACATGTGTAACGGTCCTCGCACGCTTCACCCTAATCCTCATCATTGTCATCAGCATCATCCTCATCATCCTCATCATCATCACGATCATCGTCATCATCATGATCTTCAGCATCCTCATCATCATCATCATCACCATCAGCATCGTCATCATCCTCATCATCGCCACCATCCACAACAATAATATTAGCGTCAGCATCAGCATCAGCAACACCATCACCACCACCATCACCATCACCATAATCATCATAATCACCACCGTCCTCATCGTCGTCACCACTATCATGATGGTTCTCATCGTCATCACCATGACCCTCCTCATCCTGGCGCCCATTCCCCCTCATCATGTTGACCCTCCCACTCGCTCATCATACCAATGACTTTCCTCATCGATCTCACCACTCCTCTTAACTCGTCCTCGAATGACATCGGTTGTCAGCCAACCTCATGCCCACCCAACTCATCCCCCCTTCGACTTCGTCACCTCATTCATCATCATCATCATCATCATCATCAGCATCATCATCAGCAACAGCATCAGCAGCATCATCGTCGTCATCAGCATCACAATCATCATCGTCATACTTATCAGCATCATCATAAACATCATCATCAGCCTCATCATCAGCATCATCAGCATCACCAGCATCATATCATCATCAGCATCATCATCTGCATCATCATCCTCATCACCAGCAGCAGCAGCGTCATCATCATCGCCATCACCTCGACCTGCACCATCGACCTCAAAGGCATCGTCATCATCATCACCATCGTCATCATCAACATCATCAGCATCACAATCGGCGTCGACATCATCATCATCAGCAGCATCATCACCATCACCATCACCATCACCATCACCGCCACCGTCACCGTCACGGTCACCATCATCGCCAGACCCCTCAGTCTCATCATCACCATCAGCCTCATCATCATGATCATAAACATCATCATGATCAGCAACATTAAGATCGCCATCTTACCGACGCCGTCATCATCAGCATCATCATCATGATCATCATCACCATCACCATCGCATCAACAGGAAGTTCACCATAAGCACCAAACTCACGATCATCAACATCATCGTCATCATCATCAGCATCATCATCAGCATTATCACCATCATTATCATCGTCGGCGTCTTCTTCATCGTCGTCGTCATCGTCAGCCTTGTCTTCTTTAAGATTTGACCTGCTCCTTCTCACTGTGACTCACACCGCACCCCTCTGACTCACTCATCTTCCTCCTCACTGTTCGACTCCCCTCATCCTCCTCATCATCCGCCAACTCATCCTGCTCTTACTCATCTGTTCTCGCTGCTAATCCCCTGTCCTTTTCCCTCTCTGCCCCCATGCCACATCTACCACAACACCATTATCATCATTCCTCCTTCTCCCCATGCTCACGGCATCTCAGCCATGCTTACTCCTCAAACCTCTTGCTCCCGCGCCCTCCTCCTCATCCTTCTCTTCTTCCTCCCCCTCCTCCTTCACCTTCTCGCACTCCTCACTCGTGGCGTTCCCGCGTGGACGCGGCGCATGTTTCGCCCGCCGGATCGCATGCAAGCGGCAGCGGCAGCGGGGCCGCGCAAGAGCGGTCACAACGCTCCCCTCGCCAAAGCGCCGCGCAGATTTTGCCTGCAAATGATGGTGCTGCTTTGACGCGGCCCATACCTCGTCTGCCGCATTCATCAAAAATCCGGCCGCCCGAGAGAAAGCTAAATGAGGCTCTCGCAACGCAAGGTTTTCTGGAAATTCTGATCTCACCCGTGAGCGACCCGCTGCTGTTGGTCCTTTGCCAAGTCGTCGGAAGCGGAACCGCGCGCGAGCGCCTTCCGTTCGCTAGGTGGGAACGCGTTCCAGTCCCAATACCAAGTTGTGCCAGCATTGACTTGTATGTCATGGGAGGGATGATGGGTATGGGCGGGTCACGCTGAATTATTTGACATAGCTAAGTTGATTCGCATATCCTCCCAATCTGGCGCCTAGCCGACCAAAAACCCGCCAGCCTCGGCCTCTCCATCCTGCCCAAAAGTCAGAAGGGGCGGGCCTTCTCAGAAGGCTCGGAAGGCCTCGGGCCTTCTGAGAAGTGTTCTAAGCCGTCCCCCAAAACACACAGAATTTCTCAGAAGCCAGAGGGCTTCTGAGAAGCCCCGCCCCCTTCTGAGATGACCTTCTCCTTCTCACTTCCTCCCCTCGCTCGCCGCCAAAATGAAGCAGATGTTGTGAAGCGGAAGTGCTGCCTCGGCGCGGTGCGTACTTCGACTTGGCCGCGCTCATCGCAAACGCCGCCGCGCGAGATAAGGCCAAATGGTGCTCTTGCCGCAACGCCGCAGCAAAAAATGTATGGAACTGTTGCACGCGCCCGTGCGCGGCCCCGGGTCTCGCTCTCGCCAAGTCGTGGGAATCGAGGCAGCGCGCGAACCCCTGTCGCTCGCTCGGGGGAAATGCACGCCAATCCCGATTTTTGCGCCAGCACCAGCTTGGGTGGCCAGGGGCGGGGCCCACTGACTCGTTCGGCCTGGATGGCGTGATGTAGTCATTCCCATACTCCGAATCCTACTCCTGCTGCTGCTGCTCATACCGCTAATGAGCTGCCATGCGGGATCCCCCGCAGAAGTAATATCATTAGGTGCGGCCCTGGAGATCTCGATCCATCTTCCGTACGGAGGCCACGCTGTGGGCCCACTCAGACCGAAACTCCAAACCATGTCCTGCGACATCCCGGACTGTGGCTTCTTTCGTTTGGGTGGCAGCAATTACTTCAATTACTTGCGACGAAATGGTCCCCGTAAGCACAAGTGGCCAAGAGGGTCGCGGCATAGTTTATATGTTCCGCCCGCCACCAGGTTCCTTCAAGCACTGCACACTGGTGAATATGTAAGTGTCGTAATTGGCGGACTGAACCTTGTAGCCAGTGATGGGCATGCCCCCGTTGTCGCTCGGCGGTTCCCACGCTATCTCGATGTAAACCTGAGTCGAGGACTTCAAATACGGCTGCGCCATCGGGTACGGTCGACGGGCGCAAGTCCGCGCCAGGCTTGTGGACTCGGCCGATTCTCCTGCGAGGCTTACGGCAACGACCTTGAAGTAGTACAGAGAGCCCGTTGAGCATCCAGCGAGAGTGAACGTCTGTGTGGTCGGGATACCAGTTCCATCGTACTGCAGGAGGGTGTCAACGTAAACCTGGTAGCCAGTGATGGGCAGATCCGATGTGGGGGCATTCCAGGAAACAGTGATCGTGGTCTCGGTCGAAGTGACAAACGTCAGCGTTGGCGCCACTGGCGCCGACGCAGCGTAGATGTATGCCTCAGGAGAGTAAATCGTATCGCCGATGTCAACTAAGTTGAAGGCACTGACGCGATACGTGTACCTCTGGTCCACGGCTATGTCGGTTGTGTCTGTCAGGGTTGTGTCCGTGTGCGGGGAGTCTCGGGTCGTCAGCTGCAGCCACGAGCCAGAGAAAGGGTCGGTTGTCCGCTCGACGATGTATCCGAGAATTGGCGAACCGCCATCGTCGGGCGCCGTCCACGCAAGCGTGATGGAGGCGGAAGTGGTGGCTGCCGTGTCCGGCTCAGGACGGCCCGGCGCCAGCGGCTTGGAGGCGGCGACGGTGCTGAAGACAGAGGACTGCCCCCCGTCGCCGGTGGGATTGACGCTCTGCACAATGAAGCTGTAGGCGTTCCCAGGCAGAAGTGCGGTGGTGCCGTCCGTGTACGTCGGGGCCCAGGTGAAGTACAACGTCGAGCTCCTCGTGCTCCCGTCCCAGATCAGATTGTCAATGTCGCCTCCATAGCCGTCGTCCACGTACACCTTGTAGCCGCTGAGCCCTCCCAAGCCGCCCGAGAGCGGCCTCTCCCACTCGAGCGTGATCGAGCTCGTGGAGGAGGCGGTGGCCCGCACGCTCTGGGGCGGCCCCGCCACGTCCGAGCAGATGAGCGTCAGGCGGTCGCTGCGTGGCCCCTCGCCCGCCGCGTTCACGGCCGCCACCGCGAAGCGGTACGGTCTGCCGCCGTCTAGGCCCTCGAAGAACTCCGACAGGGTGTCCGCGTCTGCGGTGTTCTTGGATACCTCCGTGGTGCCGTCGTCGGCGTAGACGGTGTAGTATATCAGCGTGGACGAGCCGATGTCGGTCACACTGTCCCAGGCCACCGTGATCTTCGTGTCACTCTGGTCCCCCTCGCGGCGCAGGTTGGTCGGGCCGCTACCAGGCACCGAGAAGTCGCAGCACTGGATGGAAACCACGTCGCTGAGCTCGCTCTGCCCCACCCGGTTCCAGTAAGAGGTCTGGAACAGGTAGGAGCGCCCCTCCACCAGGCCGCCAACACCCAGAGACTCCGTAGAGGCGCCGTCGCTGTCGACGTCGTAGCTGAAGCGCAGCACGCCCCCGAGGCCGTCATTGCGGTAGAGGGTGAACCTAACTATCGTTGACTGACCCGCGGCTGCCCCTGTGGCCGGCGTAAAGGTGAAATTGAGCGTGCCGTCTCCGCCTGCAACCAGGAGCGCGGGGTCAGGCTTGTCTGGCACGACGGCCGGCTGCGCCGAGATTGTGACTGGATCGCCGTCGTCGCCATTCGTGGCCACGATCGTGTAGTAGTACGCCTGCCCAGCAACCAGCCCAGAATCTTCAAATTGGAAGACACTCGCATCGAAGTCGCCCATGTGCGTATCGATCGCCCCACCAAGACCGTCGTCGCGGTACACGCGGTACCCGATGATCGACTTCCCCCGGTCGTCCTGAGGCGGGACCCACGCAAGCCTGTTCGTGTCGTACTCGAAATCGTAGTGGTAGAACGCCTCCACGACACCAGGCCTGTCGTACACGCGCACCTCCTTTGGAAAGCCGCCGAGCAGCGCGCGAGAGTGGAAGAAGTACTCTGGAGCGATTACAGTTCTGCTGAGGCCTTGGTCGTTGGACCACTCGAGGCGCAGCCTGGCGAAACCTGTTCTCTCGTAGAAATAAATCTGGATGCGGTAGAGCCTCTTAGCTGTAAGCTGGATCTCCTGTTAGCACGCCCGACATGGGCACGGAAAGTGGGCACGATACCCGATAGCAAACGTTGTCCAACACCGACAGCGGCCGCTGTTGGGCAGGCGACTGATTGTCTCACGTGGACAACGTCCGTGGCGACACCGACGACGAGTCCTGCTGAAAGTGGGCAGGAACTGCTGTCAGTCTTCGTCCCCTAATTTCCGTGCCCATTTCGATCGTACCGATCCTGGGTTGACCACTCGCCCGCCTCATCCCGGCTGAGCACGAGCTCGTCGTCCAGCCAGAGCTTGGCGCCGTCGTCGACGGTCACGTAGAACGTGTAGTTTGCTGCCTCGGGTACCTTCAGGAAGGCACTGTGCTGGGCAGACACAAAATCGGAGGCCTCTGCGGTGACCAGCCCTTGGCCCCAGTTGAAGTCGACCGATGCGTCGGTCCGGACAATTGCCGGATCACCCTCGACCCAGCGGTTGTTGAAATAGCGCGCGTTGACGCCGCCCCTATTCGCAACGTAGCAGTCCATCAGGTAGTCACCAGTCACGGGGAAGTTCATGTCCAGCTCGAACAGCCCAGTGGTCGTGACCGGCATGATGTCCAGCGGCAGGCGGTATGGGCCAATGGTCGTTTGGCCGCTCTAGGGGGAGCAGGGGCCCAGCAGCAAACCCAGACACCTGCCGAGGTGATTTCCAGTGCACGACCCCACGGCGGTCGCGAACGCTTCCCCAAGGCAGGGTTTCGTCCCGGGTCCACTTTTGGTGGTCCGGGGGCCCGACAACGGCCCCCGAGAGCCGAACTCGAAGCAAAGCTGACGGATCACAAAGCCACATCGTCGGAGGTCGAGGAAACGACGGGCGACCCCGGGCATCAAAGAACTGCCACGGCCAACTGGGAAAACAAAGACCATGGGCGCGAGGGCACTCTGGCCCTCCGCCGTAGAAAACGCGGGCCTCGATCTTCCTCGACCCCCTTGATCCCCGATCGTCATCGGTCCTCGATCCTCTGCCGATCCCCGATCACCTCCGCATCGACCCTCGATCCTCCCCGATCCCCGATCGTCGTCAATCCCCGATCCCATCCATCGATCATCGATCCTCAGTCCTCGACTGGACCATGAGCATCGAGGACCGATGAGGAGAGGGGGCGCCTTCAGGCGGCGACCTTCAGCAGGCAGCTTGCGCGCGAGCGCCAGCGCAGTCAGCTCCGACATACCCATTGTTCACGTCGCCATGTTGACTCTTGCCATGGCCCTGGTCTTGCAGACAGGCTACAATGAACACGTAGGCAAATCGATGCAAATGAAACACCCCAGACGGCGAGCGAAAAGCGCAGTAACTTGGATTTTGATGTTTCCAATACTAACACTTCCCAGCTCAAAGCTCCACTCGGTAATCAGAACAACATCTGGAACGAAACTCATAAAAAAACCTGCGACTCTTCCATAATTGTTCGGATCGGGATCCACTTTGCGAAGTTGGCGCAATTAGAGTCCTCCCAGAAGGGGTCCGAATAGATGGGGTTGGAGGATGGCGCCGCATCCACCCCGCATCGCCGATGCGTCGGCGCGCGAGAAAATCAGGCCCCGCAGCGCCACCAGGGACCATTTCCGGGGATCTGCCGGCGCGCGCCAGGGCGCGCTGGGCGCGGTGTCCCAATCTGGGGCTCTCGCTCGAAAAAAAATCCTCCCAAAGTCGAGCCCCAGCGCGCGAGGAGGAGGAGGAGGAGGAGGAGGAGGAGGAGGAGGAGGAGGAGGAAGAGGAGTAGAAGGAGGAGGAGGGGAGGAGGAGGAGGGGCGGAGGAGGAGGAGGAGGAGGAGCAGGAGCAGGAAGAGGAGGAGGAGGAGAAGGAAGAGGAGGAGGAGGAGGAGGAGGAGGAGGAGGAGGAGGAGGGGGAGGAGAAGGAGGAAGAGGAAAGTTGGAAGAGGTGCTGGAATTGGAGGAGGAAGCAAAGAAGGAACGACCTCCAGGGGCCTCCGGGAATGTCCTGGGAGGATTTCGGGGAGGAGCATGAGGAGGAGGAGGAGGAGGTTGCCAGCATGGGAGCGGGAGGGGCCGGATGCCCCCCCCCTCCTGCTCATTCTCCTCTCGCCCACAAGCACACGCACCATGTCCTATATACGGGAAACTCAGAGCGGGCCAGTGGTCTTCAAGATGTGGCCCTCGCATTAGCGCCGCGCACATTGATCTTGCAAAAGCTTCCACAACAGGTCGTTGTCAAGATGTGGCTCCCGCATGAGCGCCGCCCAGAGCCGCCTCAAAGCACCCCAGAAAGTTGCACAGGTGGAGGCCGGCCCGTTCGGAGAGTGCGGCTCTCTCGCCGCAGACTTCCACAAAAGTACCACCAGAAGTGCAAGAAAGTGCGCAGCATTTACACCAAGGGAGGACCGCTCATTTTCAATATGTGGCTCTCGCTAGAGACTTCGCTTGGCTTGATGGCCACTGGCTAAAGCAAGTGCAACAGCTGCACGGATGCCAGGCGATTCCCTTTCAAAGCGGGGCTGTGGCTGGACACTTCCTTGGACTTTACAACCACACCTTACCGCATTCCCGAATTGCTCGAAGGATGGAGGGCGGTCTCTTCCAAAATGGAGCTCCCGCCTGAGATACAGGCCCATCGGGCGCTCGTCTTTCCAGGGGAGCGCTTCCCGCAGTGAAAATGATGCTCGTAGGGACTTTTGAGGAGGCGCCTTGGAATCTGAGGCGGCACTGCAGCATGATTGATACATCTTGAACCCACACTCTTCCTCCTTTCCTCCTCCTCTTCCTCCTCCTCCTCATCCGGTTCCTCCTCCGCACTCCTCCTAACCCCTCTTCTAAGACGAAGGCAGAATCGAGGCACCATCGGACCGATATAAATCGGCAATCTCTACGAATCGACGGGTATAAAGGTTATATCGGGCGCCACGGTCAGAACGTTCTGGAACGCTCTGAGAGCGTTCCGCAACGTTCTCGAATGGATTTATCTCGATTCTAGGCCCGCTCGACCCTCCCTGCTCGATGCTCCTCAATCCTCTGGGCCCTCCCCCACGCTCGCCGCCCAGTCTTGGGGTGCCCCCCCCCCCTGAGAGAGCGGCCAGGCGACCAGGGGCCGATGGGGGCGTGTCGCGTTCCGGCCCATCGGCCTCGCAGATCATGTGGACAGTCTCGCTGTCCTGGGCAAGGGAAGGATCCTCCTCCTCCTCCTTCTCCTCCTCCTCCTCCGCTCGCTCCTCCGTGCTCCACGGCCTGGGACGAGGGCGGCGTCCATCTCCAGGGGGCGGCGAGAGGGTGCGGAGGAGGCCGCTCCTCGCGCCACGAAATGGGAGACTCACGGCGTCGGCGCTCTGCGCCTCCTCGCCCTCATCTCCCTCCTCGCCCTCCACTCTCCTCTGCCCTCCTCGCCCTCCGCCCTCCGCCCTTTCCACTCTCCTTCGCCCCCCTCGCCCTCCGCCCTCCTCCCTCCGCCCTCCGCCCTCCTCGCCCTCCACTGTCCCTCGCCCTCCTCGCCCTCCGCCCTCCTCGCCCTCCGCCCTCCTCCTCTCCGCTCTCCTCGCCTTCCGCCCTCCGCTGTCCTCGTCCTCCGCCCTCCTACAGTTAGGCCACTGCAGTAAGAAACGCTTAAGAAGGAGCGGAGCCACATTTGTGGCAACACCAAAGCCTGGGTGCACGAAGGGGGCTAGAGGAACAGAGCCCCCCTCTGCACGCTAGATCAGGAACGCTCGATAAGAACCGCTAGAGAAGCCTGGGTGCACGAGGAGGGCTGAAGGAACAACCACGGGATGACCGAAGGAACAGCGAGCCCCTTCCGAACCCAGGTCGGTCCCGATTCCGGCGTATTGGCTGCACGTTAGGCGACGAGCGCGGGAGGGGAAATGAGAAGAAGAAGGCCTTCTCAGAAGGCGGCGGGGCTTCTCAGAGGCCCTCCAGCCTTCCGAGGAGTTTTTGTCCGAGTCTTCGGGAGGCCAGAGGTCTTCCGGCCCTTCGCGGAAGGCCCGCTCCTTCTCACTCCTCCACTGGGCGCGCCGTCGATACGTATCCCTCTCCCTCTCTGCTCGCGGGTGGACGGGAAGCGCATCCAAATCCACGGCATCTCGCAGTCCAGGCTCCTCTGCCGCAGCCCCTGTGGGTGCAGGGCGGTCTTGCGCGGAGGTCCCGCGCGGAGGCATCACAAGGTACTGAATCGGGAACGAAGAAGATTTGCTGGCCACGGCGAACCTTGGCCACGGATGGGCTGCACGACCCGGATTGCAGAACGGCCCCCCAAAAAACAGAGATCCTCATGAACCCGAAGTGGTTCTTATTTCAGCATCTTGACTGTGTCCACGAGGTCGCGTATCCTTTGGAACGCGCCTCGACAGTTCAGACAAATAAAGCATGCACATGTATATGTATATCTGTATACATACAGATGTGCAAGTTCCTCGCTCGCAACATGTCTCGATCTCCCTCTCCTATTCATCCTCGTCGAGCGGGGCTCTCCCACCCCTCGTGTCCTCCACATCATTCCCGTTCTCGTCCGTGATCTGAAACTGCACGACGTTCGTCGTAGACATGCGGACCGTGTCCGCGATCGTCGTCGACTGGAAGTTGTACGTCAGGCCCAGCGTAGAGTCGACCGCCTTCGGGGAGACTGCATCATGTGCTTGCTTCATTGCGATATTGAAAGAGAGGGGGACAGGAGGAGAAGGAGAAGGAGAAGGAGACGCAGGATAATAATAAGAAAGAAGAAGAGGGAGGCAAGGGAGAAGGACAAGGAGGAGGAGGAGGAGAAAGAGGAGGAGGAGGAGGAGGAGGAGGAGGAGGAGGAGGAGAAGGAAGAGAGAAGGGAGAGGGAGGGAGGGAGGGAAAGGGGAGGAAGAGAAGCACGAAGAGACGAAGGAGGGGAGTGAGGGAAGGAGGGAGGGCGGAGGGAGGGAGGGAGGGATGGAAGGAGAAGGAGGAGGAGGAGAGAGAGAGGGAGGGAGGGAGGCAGGGAGGGGGATGGATCTGAGAGGAGGGAGGAGGTGGAAGAGGAGGAGGATGAGAAGGAGGAAGAAGACGGATACGAAGGAAGGTAGAGGAGAAGGAGAAAGGATCCTTCGATGAGACCGCTATGGTGAAGGTGTACGGGCTCACGGGATTGACGGGGTCGTTGTTCGCCCTGACGACGATCTCCAGATCCTGGGGCGCCTGTCGGGGGACCACGCACGAGAGATCGTCCCAACCTCCAAGAAAACCATCACCTCGTCCGCGAGCATTAAAATGTCACGCCCACGACCATATAACCCGCTCTACCCCACCGAAGAGAATCGTTAGGGGGGGGACCCGCTCAGGGGGGAAAAGCGGGAATCGGCAATACATTGCCGACAGATCGGCGATAGACTCCCGACAGCAAATCCGCATTTTCCCAGGCGGGGTGGCCTCTCGGCCCCTATCGGCGATCAATGAGACATTGGAGGTCAGCGCGTCCCCCCTGCGCCGCCATCCCCCCCGTGAGATGGTCCCGGCTTCGGGGCCAGCTCGGGTCTCTGGCGGCCGTTCGGGACGATCCCGGCACCCCCAGAACGCCCTCGGCGAGGCGCAGCTGCTGGAGCGCATCCCGAGCGTTAAAAACGACCAGGGACCCACGAGCACGTCCGAAAACCTCGAGCCTCGAACCTCATCTGCCTCTGAGCCCATCCTCCTGTGACGTTGCCCCCGACAAACGGTCTGCAGAGGTGCTCGTCGAATCTCGGCTGTCTCTGGCGGTCTCCGGCGGTCTTTCAGCGGTCCTAGGCGGTGTCCAAAGGTCTCATGCACGAGAACCGGATGGCCGTTATGGGCAGAGGGGTCGCTACAGAAGTGGTGCCTGTGGTCCAGCGCCCGCTGATGATAATGATGATGATGAGGATGGTGATGGTGATGCTGATGATGATGGTGATGATGGTGATGATGATAATGATGTTGATGATGGTGATGTTAGTGATAACGATGGCGATGGTGATGAGGACGATGATGATGTTGATGATGATGAATATGAGCATGCGAAAGATGAACACGATCATGGGGATAAAGATGCATATGTATATCAACATGAAAACGCCGAACCGTACAATGATACATATTGAGATGGATATGAAGATGAACATGCAGATGAAATTGAAGATAGATACGATGAGTACGATGATGATGATGTTGATGATGATTGTGTTGGTGATGATGACGATGATGCTGATGATCGTGGTGCTGGTGGTGGTGGCGATGACGATGACGATGATGATGATGATGATGATGATGATGATGATGATGATGATGATGATGAGTCGATAGAGACGATGATGATGATGATGATGGGCCCATGAAGCGCGGCCGGACCAAATGATTCCTTTCCGGGGGCCGGTGGCCCGCGGTGTCCCACTGGTGTCCCGCCTCCGGCTCAGGCGCGGCCGTACCAAATGATTCCTTTTCGGGGGCCGGTGGCCCGCGGTGCCCCGCCGGTGTCCCGCCGGTGTCCCGATGATGATGATGATGAGGATGATGGTGAAGATGATGATGATGTCGATGATGTTGATGATGAAGATGATGATGGTGATGGTGGTGATGATGATGGTGTCCCGATGATGATGATGATGATGATGATGATGATGATGATGATGATGATGATGATGATGTTGGCGATGCTGATGATGATGATGATGATGGTGATGATGATGGCCATGGTGGTGATGATGATGGTGTCCCGCTGATGATGATGATGTTGATGATGCTGATGTTTCTGACGATGATGATGGTGTCCCGATGATGATGATGTTGATGATCCTGGTGATGTTGATGATGATGAGGTGATGGGATGATGATGAAGATGCTGAGGATGATGATGAGGATGATGATGATGGCCCGATGATGATGGTGATGATGAGGTTGATGAACATGTTGTTGATGATGATGGTGATGATGATGATGGTGCCCCGATAGTGATGATGATGTTGATGATGATGACGATGATGGTGTTCCGATGATGAAGATGATGTTGATGATGAGGACGATGATGAGGTGATGATGATGGTTTTGATGATGCTGGCCCGATGGTGATGATGCTGATGTTGATGATGATGGTGTCCCGATGATGATGAGGATGATGATGGTGGTGACGATGATGATGGTGTCCCGGAGATGATGATGTTGATGATGTTGCTGATGATGATGATGGTGTCCCGATGATGCTCTTGTTGATCTTGTTCATGATGATGATGAGATGGTGATTATGATGGTATTCCGATGCTGATGATGATGGTGTCCCGGTGATGATGATGTTGATGATGTTGATGATGATGCTGGTTACGATGATGGTGTCCCGATGATGATGATGGTGATGATGCTGTTGATGATGATGATGTTAATGATGTGGTGATGATGGTGTCCCGGTGATGATGATGATGATGTTGATGACGTTGATGACGATGATGATGTTGATGTTGATGTTGATGTTGATGATGATGATGATGATGATGATGATGATGATGATGATGATGATGATGATGATGATGATGATGATGATGATGATGATGATGATGATGATGATGATGATGATGATGATGATGATGATGATGATGATGATGATGACGTTGATTGTGAGATCGGTTGTGATATCGATAGTAGAGAGAGCGTGATCCACCGCCGCTTTACTGTGGAAAATTGCCGCCCTTTTCCTCCGGAACCCGGGGTTCCCCCCCCCCCCTCCGAAAATCCCCCCCCCCCTGCTGGAACCCCCCCCCCCCCCTCCCCTCCCTCCCCCGGCAAAACCCCCCCCCCTCCCCCTAACCCCCCCCCCCCCTCGAGCTCGAAAACCGGGGGGGGTCACTACCGGTTCGAACCCCCCCCCCCCCTCGAAAACCGGAGGGGGGGGTCACTACCGGTTCGAACCACTGAGCTGTCCCACTGTTCCCACCACTGTCCCCACTGTCCCTACCACTGTCCCCACTGTACCTCTGTCCCATTGTCCCACCGCCGTCCTCGCCACCGCCTTCACCACTGTCCCCACCACCACTGTACCCTCCACTGTCCTACTGTTTCCACCACATTCCCACTGTCCCCACACCACTGTCCCCACCACCACCGTCCCCACCACTGTCCCACTGTCCCCACTGTTCCCACCATTGTCCTCACCATTGTCCCCACCACTACCGTCCCCACCACTGTCCCACTGTCCCCACCACTGTCCCGCTGTCCCCTCACCACTGTCCCCACCACCACCGTCCCCACCACTGTCCGCACCCCCCCTCGGTTTTCGAGGGGGGGGGGTTCGAACCGGTAGTGACCCCCCCCGGTTTTCGAGCTCGAGGGGGGGGGGGGGTTCGAACCGGTAGTGACCCCCCCCCTTTTCATGATGAGCTGGGGGGGGGGGGGAGGGGTTCGAACCGGTAGTGACCCCCCCTGGTTTTCCGGAGGGGGGGGGGGGGAGGGGTTCGAACCGGTAGTGACCCCCCCCGGTTTTCCGCTAGCAGCGGTAGAACACGCTCTTTCCGATAGTAAGATCGATAGTGGGACCGAATGTGAAATCGATTTTGAAATCGATAGTGAGATCGATAGTGAGATCGAGTGTGAGATCGATCGTCAGATCGATTGTGAGATCGATCGAATGAAATAGATCGAGTGAGATCGATTGTGAGATCGATCGAATGAGATCGATCGAGCGAGACCGATAGTGAGATCGATAGTGAGATCGATAGTGAGACCGATCGAGTGAGACGTTGGTTCCCCCCCGAACCTCCTTATCACCCGAATGGTGGTCGTATCGGTATATATATATATATACGTACAGATTCGCCACCATGCCCTTGAGGAACGAGCTGGAGTGTCCTCAGGTCACTTGTTCGATCGCCTGGAGCCAAAACCCTTAATCCGGAGGATTATGTAAGGGGCCCGGACCCCAAATTCACACATCTTCTGGGGCTTGCCGCGTGCCCCATGGGCCCCAGGGAGAGAGGCCGCCCCGACGGTCCAAGAGTGCCCCGAATCGCTGAACGATCGCTCCAAGATGCCCAAGATGGTTCCAAGACGGCCCAGGAGGCCCCCAAAACGCTCTAAGAGAGTCCCAAGAGGCGTCCCAAGAAGACCCCAAGACTTCAAAAACGCAAATACGTGTTTGAAAATTGTGGGCCGTCTCGGCTTTTCGAGATCCCAACGCTCCAAGACATCCGAAGAGGCGCCCAAGACCGCCCCCAGACCGCCCAAAAGGCCTCCAAGAGATTCCCAAGACGGCCCAAGAGTGCCCCGAGACGGGCCAAGAAGGCCCCAAGAGAAGCCCAAAAGGGGGAACATGCACCGACAATTCGAACTTTCCGCCACAAGAAACCCCCAGGAGGTTCCACAAGGCCCCCAAGAGGCCCCCAAGAGGCCCCAAGAGGCCCCAAGAGGCCCCCAAGAGGCGCTAGGAGTCCAAGAGACCCCCAAGAGGGTCCAAAGACGCCTCCAGAAGCCCCAAAAACGTTCCAAAAAGGCCTCCAAACGGCGCACAAAAGGCACCCGAAAGGCCCCTCCGGACATCCGAACGAACATCCTAAAGGCTTATGACCTAAAACCCAGGCACGGTGGCGGGATGGGCTGAAGGCCGTCATAGATCCGCTGCCTCCTGTTGGCTTGCCACAGGGGTGCCTGGCGTGCTAAATCCTATCGCTCTTGCTTTTGATTCTTTTTCAAAAGAGCTCTCCATGGGGCTTCGGCCTGTCCTGCCGGCCACCCGAAAGGCTCAATATTCCAAGACAAAGTCCCCCAAGACGGCTCAAGATGGCTTTCAAGACCGCCAAGATGGCCCAAGATGGCCTCCAAGATGCCTCCAAGACGGCCTCCAAGACGGTCAGTGGCCCCAAGATGCCTCCAAGACGGCCCAAGATGCACCCAAGACGGTCTAAGATAGCCTCACGATGGCCCAAGGCGGCCGAAGAGGCTCCCAAGAGGCCTCCAAGATGGCCCCAAAGACCTCCAAGAGGTCCTCCCGGAATGCCCGAAAAGGCCAAAATCGCTGATCTTCCTCAGGTGTTTGAAGGAAGTCGGCATTTGCTTCTTTTCGGCCTTCCGTCGGCCCAAGCGCCCCCAAGGATCGCCAAAAGATCGCCCAAGGGTAAGATGGCTCCAGAACGGCTCATGAGGCCCCAAGACTGCACCAGGCGGGCCCCAAGACGGCCCAAGAGGCCCCCAAAACGCCCAAGATGGCCTCCAAGACGGCCCTGGAGCACCCTAAGAGGGCCCCAGAGAGGCCCCCAAGACAGCTTCCGACGGCGTCAGACGGGCCAGGAGCCCACCAAGACGGCTCAAGATGTCTCTAAGGAGGCCGAAGACGGCCCAAGAGGCCCACAAGAGGTCTCCAAAACGGCCCAAGAGGCCTCCAAGAAGGCCTCCGGGAAGCCCCCAAAAGGCCAAATTCATTGATTTCCCTTCAGTGCTTGAAGGAAAGTAGCATGTGCTTCTTGTCGGCCTCCCGACGGCCCGAGACGGCCCAAGAGCCCAGAAAGATCGACCAAGAGGCCTCCAAGATTGTCCCAGCACGGCCCAAGAGGCCCCCACGACAGCCCCAAGAGGGCCCCAGGCCTCCAAGACGCCCAAGATAGCCTCCAAGACGGCCCTGGAGCACCCCAAGAGGGCTTCAAGCCGGCCCAGAGAGGCCCCCAAGACAGCTTCCGACGGCGTCAGACGGGCCATGAAAGCCCTGAGACGGCCAAAGAGGCCCCCGAGAAGCCCCCCAAAGTCCCCAAGAGGCCAAAGTAGGCCTCCAAGATGCCCCCAAGAGGCTCCCGGGAAGATCCCAGGAGGCCCCAAGTGCCCCCAGAGGCTCCCAAGATGCCCCCTCCTCGTCCTCCTCCTCCTCCTCCTCCTCCTCCTCCTCCTCCTCCTCCTGATCTTCCCCGCCATCCTCCCCCAAACGTTCCCCGAAGGGTTTCCACAACGGTTGGGCGAACGCATGGTCCAATAGCGCGGCAGAGCTCTTGCCACAACGCTTGGCCATATGGGCGATTTCAAAAGGCAGGGGGCGGTGGTGATTCGCCGTAGGCATCTTCGATACGCATGCAAATATGTGATATGTGTATGCGTATGTATGCCTCACACTCAGCTTGCTTGCAGCTTGCCTGGGCGCGGCGAACGCCACTGGCGTCTCTGACTGGGGTCGACTGAGACTGCGACGGCGACCTGCGACCCGCGCGGGACGCCGACGGGGCGCTGCAGGGTGGGGCCGACTGAGGGCCGCGCTGGGCTCATTTGCACATTCGCACTGCACCTGCGACAGTCTTGCAGCTGGCGGCACCGCGTGCTCAGTCCTGCGGGTGCGCAGGCGGCCTTCGGCCGCCGCCGCGGCACCGCCCAGCGGACCACGGCGGCCCAGACCTAGATCTGCATGACCATCGTCTGGCCGGCGGTGCCGAGGGCAACGAAGTCCGGCTGCGCCGCGGGCCAGTGCGCCTGGTACACCTCGTGGCCGCAGTTGTAGGCCACCAGGGGGGCCCTCTCGGGGCAGCCCTCCGCCGCGGCGCCCGGCGCCAGCGGGGCCGCGGGAGCCTCGCACACGTCCCAGATGAGCGCGTGCCCGCTGCCGCTGCCGGCCAGCAGGTGGTTGCGGGAGTGCGGGGCCCAGCAGATGCTATTCACGGAGGAGTCCAAGTGCGAGAGGCCCGCGAGCGCCATGGAGGGCCTCCGCAGGTCGATGAGGACGACCCCGGGGCAGTCCATCGCGAGCACGGCGATGTGATTCGGGTTCAGCTTGTTCCAGGCCAGTCGCAGGAGTGGCGACAGAGGAGATGCCTCGTAGATTATCGTGGAATGCTCCAGGTTGCGCTGGTCGAACAGGCGCACCGAGCCGTCTGCCCCGACCGAGGCGAAGTGGGTCTCGGCGTGCGAGAACGCGATATCGTACACGGCCTTATCGTGGGCGATCAGCTGCGACTCTATCTTCTCCACCTCAAGATTCCAGATGGTGCAGGTCGTGTCGACGGACGACGTGCAGAGCTTCTGCGGGTTCGCCTGGCTCCAGTCGAAGGAGGTCAGCGGGGCGAGGCTGCGGTGCCCCTTGGCGCTGGACAGCTTCGCGCTCCGCTCCAGCCGCCCCTCCTCATACCTCCAGAGCTCCAGCGCGGTGCTGACCGAGGCCAGGAGGTCGAAGTCCGCGCCGCTGTCGGCGCCAGGCGGTGCGGGCCTCCACCCCAGCTTCGTCGGGGCCAGCGGGTGCGGGGCCTCGGCCTTCAACTCCATCGCGCCCGCACCGTCGCTCAGCCCCACGACCTGGATCTGGTTGGAGTCGCCATCGATGCAGCTGCCGACGGCGAGCCGGTGCTCGGCGGCCTGGTCCGCGGAGCACGCGAGGGCGTAGGCGGGCCACGGGGTGCCGTAGACATGGCGGCGGGGCGGCGCAGACCCTGGCGCCTCCATGATTCCAGCGCTCGACCACGGACCCCTTGCTACTGCCCCGCCTGGAGTTAGGAACACTTCAAGCCAAGAGAATGGACTTCACTCCAGGCGTTTTCATAAACAGCGGTCCAGGTCCGCAAATACCGAAACTCTACGGACAGACAGGCTCTCAGAAACGGCCAAGGTCCAAGTTGTAAGCGAAGAAATCAGCAGCCAATGACAATTTATGTTTTTCCTCAGATGTATGATGGGTGTATTGCCCTGGCCATTGGATGCGCGACCAGTCGCTCCCGAATGGGCTTCGAAGTCCAGACTCGGCCGCGACCGACTTGCACCAAAATCGGTCGGTGACCACGTTGGTGTGCCGATCGGTCGCTACTGATCGCGACCGAAAACTATCCTGCGAAGTAGCCAACCCATCTACAACAACTGGAAAGAACCGAAGGCCAAACTTATCACGGCGATGGCATGGAAATACAAGGGAGGCACACGCGCTGCGGGACTTACAACACCGATAAGAGGGCGACGTGGCCCGCGGTAAAGGACGTCTAGCCCACGGTCCCGTATCACCTCGAAATTGTCGACGTTTCTTGCCCTCGAGACCATCACGTAGAACCGCAGCCACAGGGCGTCCAGGCCGTCCGCGTCGTTGCGCCCAGCGTCGACACCAGCCCTAGAAATTGGCGACAGCGTCGCACTTCTCAGCGCCCCACGGATGGCGAGGTTTAATCTGATTCTGCGGCGGATACCCACTATGCTGGTCCCCCCAAGCAGCCCTCGCAAGTGGCGACAGCTTCACGCGTCGCAGACCCCCAATTATTGCGAGATCTACTTTGAAATCGCGGCGGAATCCCAGCAGCCCTCGAAAATAGCGACACTTTGGCGCCAGCGAAGCTACGGAGGGCCTATGCCGCGTCCGCCTGGTCAGCGGCCTCAGCCACTGGCTGGGCTTAGCCGCCTTGCTGTCAGACCCGTTCCACCGCCTCGGCCCCGTCCATATTCTCCCTCAGCCGCGCCCAGCCGATGACGGCGGGCCCGCCGGGTGGGTGAACCTCTTCCTCCAAGCCCATGGGACATCGGAAGAGGGAAAGGGGAACAAAAAGGGAGAACAAAGCGGGCCCCTTTCCCAGCAGATGCCGACTCACGGCGCGTGACAGTTGGCTCGAGGATGCGCGTGAGGCGGCGGAGAGGAACAGCGGTGGCGGGGGCGGGGGTGAGCGTCGAGAGGCCCCCGCGCCCTGGCCACGACCTTGCAGCCGCCGAAGAGATGCTCCATGGCGCCGACGGGGACAGAGCGCCAAGGCTCGTGCCTGAAAGGCCCTCGTCTACCACGCTTTGCTTGAGGCCCTGCAGCGGAGAGGGAGGGAACGGAGGAGGCGGGGGAGGGGGGGACGGTGGCGAGCGAGCAGAGACGACGCCCGCCCGCAGGCAACAGAGCTGGAGAACCCGGGGAACTCTGCACTGCCGGCGTCGTGGAGACAGCAGCTCGCCACCTCGGAGTTGCGCCGCTGGCGCCCTGCCAGGGGGGCCACGGAGGCGCACTTCTGCTTGCCGACCCGCCCGCCGTGGCAGGGAGCCGCCTTGGCCAGATCGGCAGCTGGGGCTCCGACGCCCGCGCCGGACGACCTCTGCCTCACCACCGCTCTGCGCTCCCTCGCTGCCTTCCCCGAGTCCGCGTGGGGGAGCCTCAGCGAAGCTGCGCGAGGGGGGCGCTGCAGTGGACGGGGCCGTGGTCGCGGCCCCTGCCAACTGGAGCTCCACCGCTCTCCTGCTCCAGTACTTCTCCCCCCTCCTACCTCTTTCTTCGTTGTTGCTTCCTTCGTATTGCGTGTGCCCCCGTCTCGTGCAGGACCGCCGTGGCGCATGGAAGATGTTCCCGCGCACCATGCAAACTGTCCGCACAAAGTTGTTTGGTTATAATGTCCGGTTTGTCTGCGTACTTGCTTCGGTGCCACGTCGGACGATGGCACCGCGGCACATAGGTCTGCGCCGTGGAAGCATGACCTCGGGCAAATTGAAAGCGTCCGTTCTTGCTGTGCCAGGTTGCTTGCACCACCGTGCCCCGGGCCAGATAACCAATATGCTGGACCCCAGCAGTCCTCGAAAGTGGCAGCAGTTTCATACCTCGCAGCCCCACAAGGATGGCGAGGTCTAGTGTGAATCAGAGGCGGATACCCGTTATGCTGCTCCCCTCCAGCAGCCCTCGACAGTGGCCACTGTTTCGCACTTCGCAGCCCCCCAGGGATGGCGAGGTCTAATCGGACACCGCATAGGACATCCACAAATTATGCCCTCGAAAGTGGTGACGGCTGCACGGCCCCCCCCAAGTATGGCGAGGTCTAGACTGAACCCGCGGCGGATGCCCGTTCTGCTCCCCCCCAGCAGCCCTCGAATGCGGGGACAGTTTCACGCTTCACTGCCTTCTACGGATGGCAAGGCCCACTCCAAATCCGCAGCGCACGCACACTTTACACGGCGAGGTCAATCTTGAATCCGCGCGGATACGCACAATGTCCCCCTCGCGCAGCCGTCGGAAGTGGCGACGACTGCACTCTGGCAGCGCCCTAGGGACGGCAAGGTCTGATCTGAACCTGCGCGGATACCCACTGTACTGCCCCCCCCCTGCAGCAGCCTTCGAAAGTGGCGTTTCGGATTTCGAAGCCCCGCAGAGACCGCGATGTCTAATCGGACACCGCATGGGATACCCACTATGCCCTCGAAAGATGCGACGGCTGCACACTTCGCAGCCCCCCCAAGTATGGCGAGGTCTATACTGAACCCGCGACGGATGTCCATTATGCTCCCCCCCCCAGCAGCCCTCGAACGTGGCGACAGTTTCACGCTTCACAGCACCCCCACGGATGGCGAGGCCCAATCTAAATCCGCAGCGCACGCACACTTTGAACGGCGAGTTCAAGTTGGAATCTGCGAGGATACACACAATGTCCCCCCCGCGCAGCCGTCGGAAGTGGCGAAGGCTGCACTCTGGCAGCGCCCTAGGGACGGCGAGGTCTAATCTGAATCCGCGCGGATACCCACTGTACTGGCTCCCCCATCCAGCAGCCCTCGACCGTGGCGACAGTTCCGCATTTCGAAGCCCCCCAGGGATGGCGAGGTCTAATCTGAATCCGCGCGGATACTCACTATACCGGACCCCCCTCCAGCAGCCGTCGAAAGTGGCCACCGTTTCGCACTTCGCAGCCCCCCAGGGATGGCGGAGGTCTAGTCTGAAGCCGCGGCCGATGCCCACTATGCTGCCCCCCTCCCCCAGCACCCCTCGAAAGTGGTGACACTGTAACCCTCCGCACCCCTCCAGAGAATGGCGAGGCCTGAATTGAATCCGCGCGGAAGCCCATTATGCTGCCCCCCCCTCAGCAGCCGTCGAATGTAGCGAAAGCTTCACACGTCGCGGCTCCCCAGGGATGACGAGATCTGAGAAATATCCGCGCGGGTACCCACTGTGCTGCCCCAACAGCAGCCCTCGAAACTGGCGACCGGCTCACACTTCGCAGCCCCCCACGGATGGCGAGGTCGAATTTGAATCCAGGCGGATACGCACGATGTTGCCCCCAGCAGCCCTCAAAAGTGGCGACGGCTTCACACTTCGCAGCCCCACAAGGATGACGAGGTCAAATCTGAATCCGCGCGGGTACCCACTTTGCTGCACCCCGGGACAAGACGGCGGGACAGGAGGCAGCAGGCAGAACGGAAGAGAGGAGGGATACGGCGGGAGGAAGCGACCACTGTGCTCGATTCAAAACGAGAGCCCAGCACAGGAGGGTTGAGAAAAATATGGTGTCCAATGATCTGGGTGCTGGACCTCCAGCGATCTGGTTTCTTCAATCCCGATGAATTCTTCTTCGATTCTTCGACTTCGGCCCTCGGGGCAAAAACAGATCCTGAATGCAAAGCTTCCTCAGTAGGAGGTCGAGGCCTCTGGGGCCGCGGACTGCACAACCGACCCTTCGATGTACCCAGACCATGACATGGCAAAAAACCGTGAACTGCCGCGGGAACGATAAGGGAGGCGCACGCGCTGCGGGACTGAATAACAAACACCGATAGGAGGGCGCGAGAAAGAAAGTCTAGCCCCAGGTCCCGTATCATACACAAATGATCGAAATTCCTGGCCCTCGAGGTCATCACATAGACACGCAGCCACGGGGCGTCCAGGTCGTCCGCGTCCTTGTGCCCGGCGTCGACAAAAGCCATCGAAAGTGGCGACAACATCCCACTTCGCAGCCCCGCAGGGATCGCCCGGCATAATCTGAATACTCGGCAGATACCCACTATGCTGGAACCCCAGCAGCCCTCGAAAGTGGCCACCCTTTCGCACGCGAGGTCAAATCTAAATCCGCGCGGATACCCACTATGCTGCCCCCACCTCCAGCAGCCCTCGAAAGTGGCGAAGGTTTCACACGTCGCAGCCTCTTAGGACTGACAAAGTTTACTTTGAATCCGCGCGGACACCCACTATGCTGACCCCCCTCCCCAGCAGCCCTCGAAAGAGGCGACAGGACAATCTCGCATTTTGAAACCCACAGGGATCGCTCGACCTAATCTGAATCCGAGCGGATACCCATCATGCTGGCCCCCCCCTCCTGCAGCCCTCGAACGTGGTGACGGGTTCACACTTCGCAGCCCCCAAAGGATCGCAAGGTCTAATCCGAGTCCGCGCGGATACTCACTATGCTGCCACCACCACCCCAAGCAGCCCTCGAAAGTGGCGACGGCTTCACACTTCGCAGCCCCCCCAAGGATGGCGAGGTCTAATCAAACTCTGCGGCGGATGCCCACTATGCTGCCACCGCAGCAGCCCGCGAAAGTGGCGACGATTACACACATCGCAGCCCCACCCACATGGATCGCCAGACCTAATCTGAATCCGCGCGGATACCCGCTATGCTGCCCTCCCCCTCCAGCAGCCCTCGAAAGTAGCGACGATGTCACACTTCGCAGCCCCGTGGTGATGGCGAGGTCTTTTTTGAATCATCGGCGGATACCCACTACGGTGGGTGCTTTGAATCCGCCGACCCCCGCCTGCTGGGGGCTGAGAAGGCGTGTGAGATAATCAGCCCGTCCCCCTCCCCCTTTCACCCTTCCCTGGGGTCCAAACTGTCGTTTGAGGGGTGGGGGGGCAGGGGCGAGCTCGTCAACGCACCCCGAGGGCCTCCGGCGGCCTCCGGAGCCTCGAAATGTACACTCCGTGGCCTCCAAGATGCCCAAGATGCCATCTAAGCTGGCTCAAGCTGGGTTCGAACACGCCGAGGAGGCCTCAAAAACAGCCAATATGGCCTCAAGAAGGCCCAAAAAGCATCCAAGACGCCCCCAGATGACTCCAAGAGGACCCCCAAAAGGGCCCCAAGAAGCAAAACTCGTCCAATTCTTTTTGGGAAACTAAGTTTTCAGCATATTCGCATTTTTGGTCTGAACAGCCTCCAAGACGGCTCAAGAAGCCCCGAGATGACTCCAAGAAGGCCCAAGCAGCCCCCGAGAGGGCCCCAAGACGGCCCAAGAGGGCCACAAGACGGCCCAAAAGGCGCCCAAGACGGCCTACGGGGGCCCCAACAGGACTCAAGAGGGGCCCAAGAGAAGAAAATGGAACTGAAACTTCGAACTCTTCGCCCCAAAAGAGCTCCCGAGACCGCCAGCAGGCGCCCAAGAATCCCCCACGAGGCCCTAAAAGATCCAAAAGAGCCCCCCAGAGGCTCCCAAACGGTCTCCACAAGGCCTCCAAAAGCCTCACCCCGTGGACTTCTTCACTCTTCTGGGGGTCGGCGGAATGACGTAAGCCTCGAGGGTAAACCTGATATTGTTAAGGAGGCTCGAATCGGCAGAGTTTTACATTTTTGGCAGAGAACGGTCGGGACTCTGGACAACCCATCACGACGTAAGGAATTCTCCCAGACCCTGAACCGTGTCCGCCAACCCTGAAAACATCCGCCGGCCCCCTTGTGGGGCCACCAGGCTGTAGGCCTAAGGTTCGCAGTTTCCTGTACCAGTTGCAGCTTCCAGTTCCCACTGTTACAGTTCTGCTTCTTGCTGCTTACTGTTCCTTGTTACAGTTCTGCTTCTTGCTGCTTAAGGTTCCTTGTTGATGGACCGCGCGAGGGGAGGGAGGCCCAAAACGAGCATCTTTACCACGCCCTGAGCGTATGCTGTGAATTGCTGGGGTGGGTAATGATTAACACCCCTCACGCAGATCGGCGGGTTCAGGGTCTAAAAACACATGGGATTTGCCACATTCCTGAAATTCAGCAGCACCCCTCACGCAGATCGGCGGGGCAGGATCCAAAAATACAAGGGATTTGCCACATTCCTGAAATTCAGCGGCATCCCTCACGCAGATCGGCGGGGTCAGGGTCCGAAAACACAGGGCATTCGCTACATTTCTGGCATTCGGTGGCACCCCTCACGCAGATCGGCGGGGAGGTCCGAAAACACAATGGATTTGCCACATTTCTGACATTCGATTGCACATCTCACGCAGATCGGCGGGGTCAGGGTCCGAAAACACATGGGATTTGTCACATTTCTGAAATTTGCTGGCACCCCTTACGCAGATCGGCGGGGTCAGGGTCCAAAAACATATGGGATTTGCCACATTTCTGAAATCCGGTGGGACCCCTCACGCAGATCGGCAGGGTCAGGGTCCAAAAACACATGGGATTTGAAACATTTCTGAAATTCGGCGGCACCCCTCACGCAGATCGGCGGGGCAGGATCCAAAAACACGAGGAATTTGCTACATTTCTGAAAAATGCGGCGGCACCCCTCACGCAGATCGGCGGGGTCAGGGTCCGAAAACCCAGGGGATCCTCAACATTTCTGAAATTCGGTGGCACCATTCACACGGATCGACAGGATCAGGGTCCAAAAACACTAAGGATTTGCCACATGTTTTAAAACTCGGTGGCACCCGTGACGCAGATCCGTAGGGTCAGGGTCGAAAAACAAACAGGTCCCGACGCTGCTTCACGGCGGCGCCCAGACCTCATGATTTAGCTGTTGCATCTCCCATCATCCGAGACAGGGGGCCGGCGGCATGGGGCGAAGCCCTTACGGATAAAGAATGTCCGAGGGCCCCGCCCGGAAGCAAAGATTGCTTCTAGAATGCCTCCACCGCATGTTGCCCCCCTTCCCAGCAGCCCCCGAAAGTGGCGACGAGTTCACACTTCGCAGCCTCCCAGGATTGGCGAGGTCTAATCTGAATCCGGGCGGATACCCACGATGCTGCCCCCCTCCAGCAGCCCTCGAAAGTTGCGACAGTTTCGCACTTCGCAGCCCCCCAGCAAGACCCCAGACAGGACGGCGAGGCAGGAGGCTGGAGGCAGGAGGGAAGAGAGGAGGAGGGAGGCGGCGGGAGGACGCGATCGCAGTGCTCTGCCCGAAGCGAGAACCCAACACAGCAGGGCTGGCAGATCGGCGGATTCCTGGGCACACCAGCGGCCCTCGGCGGTCCCCCCGCGGGCTCCGAACGGCCTCCTGCGACCCACGGCACGGCTGCGCTTGGCAAGGGCGCCTCGATCGAGCACCGAGATAGGCTCGGGGGCGAGGAGGAGGACCCAGATCCCCGACGTCGTTATTTATGTCACGAAGTGGACCCCTGGACGTCTCGACCCATTCTCATTGGCAGCCTCTTCGTCCTCAGCCGTGTTTGACGGCCCTGGGGCCCGACGGCCCTGGGGCCCGGCGAGGCCCCCAGAGGCCGAAAGTCACCAGAGCAGGAAAGCAAAAAACTGAACTCCGGTCGTGAGTTCTGTCACGACGCGAGGGGGTCTGAGGAGGAGGTGTGGCCCCCCCACATGGCCATCCGCCTGCCACGCTGGGCCAAAAGACAGCTACGGATCCAGCGCAACACGTGCCATGCGGGCAGCGCCGTCGCTCACCGCCCCCGTGCTCCAGACTGCGCCCTCTCTGGGGGGGCGGCTCCGGGGGGGAAGTAACTATCGACCTGGAGTCGAAGATGCATCGCCGATAGAGCGGCGATGGGCCCCCAACAGCGGATTCGCACGCTCCTGGGTGGGGTAGGCCATCAGGCCCCGTATCGGCGCGGAATGGGCGGCTGGGGATCGATGCGTCCCCCGCTATGCCTACAATGGAACAACACACCGCATCAACAAACTTTCTTGGAGATACGCGTGAACTTCTCGGGTCGGCGCTGAAACCCCCTACCTGGCGCGCTCGCGCGCCAGGAGCGGCGCCAGAGGCCGCCAGGAGGCGCCGCCAGGGGTGCTCAGCGCCGATCCAAGAAATACGCGCGGACTCCCAAGGAAATATGTTTATGCAGTTTCTTGTTCTTCGAATCTGTCTCCCTCCCCAACGTTGCCCCTGGTGTGGGCTGCTCCTTTCTTCCCCGCCCGGTGCCCTGGGCTGCTCTCCGTCTCTCGGAAACTGCGGACGCTTGGAGACTATGTTTTTGTTCGCGGCGATAGCGGGCGTTATGGGGGGGAGGGAGGGAGCGACTAGCAGTGCCGAGGACGCACTCTGGGGGGGAGCGTTACGTTAGGGGGGAGAAGGGGGGGGCGAATGGGCGGAGGGGGAAGGGGGGGGGAAGGGCGGGGGAGGAGGAACGGGGGGAAGGGGGGGGGAAGGGACGCTGTACTGGGTGGGCGAAAGTGCCAAAGTGGATGTGTGGGACGCATGCGGGCGGTCTCACTGTGGGCTTCGGTGGAGCTCCCTATGGGGCCACGAAACGCTGTACTCTCATGCGGGCGGTCCCACTGGGGGCTTCGGTGGAGCTCCCTATGGGGCCACGAAGCGCTGTTCTGGGTGGGTGAAACGCAGGGAGGAGGGAGGAGGGGGAGGAGGGGGAGCGAGGAGGGTGAGGAGGAGACGCGGGGCACCGTCTCTTCAAACGAGGACCCAACACCACAGGATGTTTGGGAAAAAACTGTTCGCGTGGCACACGCAAGCCTCTTCAGGAGGCCAGCTGTCACGCAGGAGCCAGGGGACCCGACGAAAGCTTTTGGTCGTCCCCGAGGCACACAATTGCGGGCCCAATCGAGCGCTGGACGTCGGCCCTGCGGGGTGAGGAGTTCTGCCCGCAAGGCGGCACAAATCACGGGCTGGCAAGGGCTAGGTTTGAGGTTGCATCTGGTTTCAGGCACACGCTGGCATGAATCAGGGCTCCGTGGATCTGGCACGTGGGTGCCAGGTCCACGGATCGAGCAGAGTACCCCCCCCGACGGGGCGCGCCGATGTTGCACGGAAACCAGATCCGTTGCTGATCCACACGCATCAATCCATATGTGCGCTGCCCCGATAGATGCCGAGAGCAAGCTGAAACGCTTAGCGTCGCCGCTCGCCCTCTGGAGCACTTCCAAAAACGGCCTGCCTCAATTGTGCTCGCCGAGCCGTCTAAAAAATTCTTTCGCCTGGGGCAGCGTGTGGCGTCGCGCTAGCGCGAAGGTGGGCCCAGCCATGCACGAAGACAACGAGTGTCGAAGACGGCCTCTTGCCAATGACAACGCGCCCTTAAACCGATGCGCCTCCGAACATGCTCAGACCCCCTCGCGTCACTAAGTGAATCATGACTGGAGACTGTTTCAGATGTTCGGCCTCTGGGGGCCCTCGCAGGGAACCAGGAGTTGTCAGAAAACGACTCGGGATGAAACTCTGATCTCGGGAACTGGGTCGAGCTCTCATGGGGTCCACGTTGCAAATGAGCACAACGCCTGGAGTCTGCCATCCTGGCGTTCCTGTCTCCTGCAACGAATGTCTAGAGTCACACTGCACCCTGTCGCGCTGCACTGCAAGCCTGCAGCTCTGGATGCCTGATCCCTGCGAAGAGCCCCGCAGGCCTGGGTGACCGTGTAAGAGCAGATCCAAACCGCCAGCCCTTGGTCTTCACAAGATACAAGATTACCGTCGACTGTGACAATCTGCTCGAAGGAGTTGCCGATGTTGTTCGACTGCGCATCGCGCAGTGTCACCGTGAAACTGGCCTCGACACCGGCCGTGGCCTGGTAGATGCCCTCGCCCTCGATGTGAGTGTGGATCGCAGAAGTGGGCCCCGGCTTCACTGTGTGCGCGAAGGGGGAGCCCACGATATCCTGCGCAGAAGGCATCAAGACACCACAGCCACCAGGGCATGGCATATACGCCTGGGTCCTCGCATGGTGGACACGCCCTCCTGGCCGAGGCCACGGCTGTCCGTGTGTTGTGTGTGTCGTGTGTCGTGTGTTGTGTGTGTTGTGTGTGTTGTGTGTGTGCTGTGCGTTGTGTGTTGTGTGTGTGTTGTGTGTGTGTTGTGTGTTGTGTGTGGTGTGTGTGTGGTGTGTGTGTGGTGTGTGTGTGCGTGTGCGTGTGCGTGTGCGCGTGCGTGTGCGTGTGTGTTTGTGCTTGTGGTTGCGTTTGTGATTGTGCTTGTACTTGTGTATATGTGTGTTTGTGTTTGCGCTTGTGGGTTATTGTATGTGTTTGTGGTTGTGTTTGTGCCCGTGTTTGTGGTTGCGTTGGCGTTTGCGTTTGCGTTTGCGGTTGCGTTTGTGTGTAGGTGTGTGTGCGTGCGTGCGTGCATGCGTGCGTGCGTGCGTGTGCGTGTGTGCGTTTGTGTGTGTGTTTGTGTTTTGTTTGCGTGTGCGTGTGCGTGTGTGTTGAGTTGTGTGTTGTGTGTGTTGTGTGTGTCTGTCTGTGTGTGTGTCGGTGTGTGCTCTGTGTGTGCGTGTGTGTTTTGTCTGCTGTGTGTTGTGTATGTACACTATATTACCCCAGTGCGACCCTACCTAGAAGTTCGAGCCCCTAGGAAAGCAGCATTAGTTGCTATGCTATGTTATGCTATGCTATGCTATGCCATGCTATGCTGCGCTAATTATGCTATGCTACGCTATGCTATGCTATGCTGTGCTCTACTATGCTAAAGATCAGCGAAGCTAAGATGAAGGTAAGCTAAGCTAAGATAAACCTGAGCTAAGATGAAGCTAAGCAAAGCTAAGATGAAATAAGCTAAGCTAAGATGAGATAAGCAACGCTAAGCTAAGGGGACGTAACTGGGGGAACCGCGGGGCGGATCCTGGGAGAACCGCCCGGGCCGGTTCCCACTGCCCGGCCCCTTTAAGCAACGAGAGTAAGAACCCTTCTAGGCAGAGCCTAGATAGGGAATAAAGAGATTCGCAAGGCTCCCTGAGAGGTCACAAGTCCATCAATGAAGTGCACGGTGATGAATCCCCTTCTCACGAGGCCGACTGGTTTGCCAGAAGCTGTAATGGCAAGAGCGGCGAAAAGGGGGCGATATGCCTGCTCGCTGGGCCTCCAGCCTTGCTGCAGCATCGAAGGCGCTCAATTATTCCACGAGTTTGTTGGGAAGCTTCGGACAGCTTCGACGTGCATGTCGTTCGCCTCGGGTCGGATAGGTGTGCAATCGCCCGAAATCTGGAGATATTACGGTCCTGCAGACCAGGCATTCAGCAGACGAGTTAACAAAAAATCGAGCATCGCATCTGAGACCATGTTTCGCTCGTCACGGACTCGTCTGTAAGATAGCAGAGCCTTCGCCGAATGAAAAGCAGGTGGGTGGACGACACCGTCACTGGCACACTCGGGGCAAGCAAATTTCCGGGCAGGAGGGGGAGGAGGAGGGCAAATAGGGGGAACGCCCTGGTGCGCCCCGTCACCACACTCCGCATCAGCTCTTCCCGCAACATGGCCACTGTGCACATGACACTGGCCTTCGAGAAATGCACCGTCGGCAATCGATTCCAAATAGAAGAGATGATGCACGAGTGGGCTCCAAGAGGCTCCGCAACCTCTGATGGAATTCCCCCACGTGTCTGGGGCCTCCGCTGGCGAGGAGAGAAAACCTGAGATCTGGCGAGTACCCGACCTTGCAGCACTACCATATCAGAGAGGTTCAATGTGGTCCGAGGCATAGGCTCAACCTTTGGGCGAGCCTGCAGCAGCGTCAACAATTCCTGCGGGCCCGAAGCGAGAAGGCGATACGAATATAGCAAACGAGCACGCTGCAACAGGCAATCTACAGATGGAACAGAAATGGTGGCGCGTAGTTGAGCATCAATGTGGTCAACTTTGCCAAACCTCACCTCGACGAAAATGCAGCAGAGGAGCCTCATCATGACTGCATTGTGCCTACGAAGTGTATTGATAACTGGACGCTACACTATGCGCGTTGAAGAAAAGCCTCGTGCGCAAGAGCGAAGCCATGAGGTGGATCTTGACCCAATCATAAACGATCAGGGAAGAACAATCTTCACAGCGAGAGCGGAATAGGCTGACAACGTCGATTGCTCCTCATGCCTAGCATCCGACATGCAAGCGACATCCAGAGACAAATTCGTGCCCAAAGAGTCTGGCGGAGCTCCTGGGGACTTCAAAAGACCGCTGTCCGTCGTGACAATGCGATGCGACAACCTGCCGAGCCCAAGATCCCCGCAATCGAACCAAAGCCTCAGTCTTACCTTTGGACCAGTTGGTCTCGATATACAACGCCGAGAAAGAATCCACCAAGGCCTTCAAAGCCATGGGGATGGCGGCCTCGAGCTGCCGCGCACTTCTGCTGACGAGGGCGACGCACACGTCGTCCAAAAACGCACAATCCGATATGCTGGCATGGGCTGCAGGAGTGTCGGTGAGGCCCCCCCCCCCAGAACTCAAGAGTGCTGGGGCAGCGGAGGCGCAACACCAACCCAGCCTCTTTGAGCTGATCTTTCCGGGCGGAAAGTGCTTTTGAATAAACGGCGTTGAACATCATCGCCCCTGCCTTGCAGCCCTGGCGGCCGCCGAGCATGGGGCACACCACCTCGTCATGCGATCCAATGCAAAACCACGAGCTCTCGTGGAGGTTCCTGAGCAGAGGGATTCCTGTGCCATCGACGTTCCCTGCTCCAACAGAGGGCCGCGCCTAGAGACAAAACTCTTCGCGTGCTGGGAAACCTCCTGGGAAGTACCAAGCTCGTCAGATACCGAAGTCTAGTTTATAGTGTGCACATGTATGTAAATGTGTATGCACATGTGTGTTCGTGCATCTTTATATAAATATGCATGCACATATATACATACATAGATACATACATACATACATACATACATACATACATACATACATACATACATACATGCATGCATGCATGCATACATACATACATACATACATACAGAGATACACATGTATATATAGATATCATCACATATCTATATATACATATATAGACATACTGGAACCACACGCCCGCGCTTCGCGCGGGCTTAGGTTCTAGTCACGGCTGCACCACGTGTTGCTGCTCTCGTTTTCGCTCGTGTGATCATCGACAACGACGACGACGTCGACGACGACAGAGGCGTCGACGAGTGACGACGAAGACGACGACAACAATGACGACGACGATCACGACGACGACGACGACGACCGCCACCACCACGACGACGACGACGTCGACGACCCCTGGAGTGGCCCCGAGGTCTGGACAATTTCCATAGGCCCAGAGTTTCGTCCTAAATGTTTGACGGTCCCAGGGCCCGTTGGGGGCGTCAGGATGCCGAGAGTTGTCCGGAAGCTTCGGGATCGGTCAGAGTACCTCAGGGCGTCTGGGGAGAGGACTCTTGGGAGCCTCTTAGGGCCTCCTGGCGGCCCCGTGGGGCCCGCTTGGGTTTTTGTTTCGGGAGCTCTTGAAGGTTTCTTGGAGTCTCCGGGGTGCTTTTGGGGAGGATGGCTCGAAATATCGGGTGGGGACCCCTCGGGGCTGTGTGGGGAAGCTGTCCCGGGGCCCTCTGGGACGGTCTTGGGGGCCCCCTGGACAGCCGAGGGCCTCTCGTGAGCCGGCTTGGAGGCCTTTTGGAACTC